ACTCAATAAAAAAAATAATAAGACAAAACAAATAACTACTATAAATAGCCAAATACAAGATCCAGGTCTGTTATGTTTCACCAATTTTAAAATCCTTTGTAGACCTATGGGTCTATTGTACAGATATAGGTCTGATAACTAGGAGGGTTTTATATGAGAGATTTATTATGCAGAATTATATTATACATGTAATCATGATATACTGGTTGCATTTAGATGTTTTCTTAACATTAAATTATGATTAACACGAAATTAATTCTAACTTATACTAGTAATAATGGCAGCAAAAAAAAATAATCATTAGACAAAAAAAAATACTAGAAATGCTCAAAAAATTACTCACATAGTAATTAATATCGATAACTAGAAGCGAGCTAATAAATGCATCTTTTAAGTAGCTTGTCAAAGCTTAAAAACAATATGTTACTAGTTGTCTAGTTGCTCTTTCTAATTTGCTTGTACTTCAAATAATAACTACTAGTGTAATTGACTTATAAATATACTCGACATATACAAATTGTTTATTATATATCAGTATGATTTATATTTCTATCACGTTAAAAAAAAAATATTTTTATCACATCAAAAAAACATTCTATCATGTTAAAAAAAACAACTTTTTAAGCTAAAAGGTAATAAGTAAAAATTTATTTGTTTTAACTTAATATGAAGATATATATAATTAACATGTAAATATATATAAGTATAAAATAAGACACAATAGAACTATTTTAAAAGAAGCGAAAATAACAAAAAAAAAAAAAGAAGCTGAAATGCTTGTGAGAAATTAGCAATTGTTATATATTTAAAAAAAAACTCCAGAGTTAATAAGCGAAATACTGCAGAATGGTTCAGTATAACTACAAAACAACTGCGTGAATAGACTGGAAAAAAAAATAAATTGAAAAGTGTTTTACCTTATGTTAGACATCTAAATATTAGTGGTTGTCCAAAATATCTGCTTTTAGAAGTTGATCTAAAATCTTAAATTATGTTATTATATTCAAAGCAAAAGGCTGTGACTCGACATATAATTATAGATAAAGCCAAACAACTTGCCCAATAATCATCTTTTATTTCAATTTACCTGATGATCAAAGAATGTAAATGGAGTGATAAATAGCTTGAATGTTTTATGCGTCATAATAAATTAAGTAATTGGTGCTATATTATTATTGTATAGAGATTACTAGAAGAATTAGAATCTAAAAAAGATGAGTTTTTAAGTCACATATTATTTCATTGCATGCGTTACCAATATTCTTTTTCACTCATTGAAAATATAGATGAGACTTCATTGGTATTTGATATATCTAATACTTTTACAGTTGAAGAAACTAGTGCTCATACTGTCGGAATCCATACAACCAGATATAAAAAATCCAACTTTATAGTTATTTTATGTTGTTTGGCTGATGGTACCAAATTGCTATCTATAATAATCTTTAAATTAGTAAATGTACTATGGCAAACATTTCTACCAGGTATTGTTGTACAAGCCAATAAGGAAGGATATATGAATTTTGATGAAATAGTTTTTTGGATAGAAAGAATTTGGGCTCGTTAGGCTCCTTTATTTGTTGATCTCTATTTATTACTAGTTTTGGATTCTTTTTGTAGTTATCTTACAGATCCAGTTAAAAACTAGTTTAACAAAAAAAATACCAACATTGCAGTTATTCCAGGTGGACTTACCAGTAAATTGCAACTATTGGATATATATATTAATAAGTCCTTTAAAGATAAGATATATAATTTTAATTTTGTTAAGAAAATATTTGCACAATATTATTTTATAAATTTAACACTTATTTAAGTATCACAAATGCTACCTTGATTGAATGGAAGAGAAAATTAAGAAATTAATGCCTACAGACAGTGTTGGCATTGGACATA